TTCCTCTCCTCCTCCTCCTCGGTCTCGTCGTCCTCCTCTACTCTCCCACTCCTCATCCTCTCCTCCTCTCCTCCTCCTCTCCTCCTTTCCTCCTCCTCCTCTCCTCCTCCTCTCTCCTCCTCCTCCTTTCCTCCTCCTCCTCCTCGTTCTCCGCCTCCTCCTCCTCCTCTTCCTCCTCCTCCTCCTCCTCCACCCCCTGTGCGCGCCGCCGCGGCGGGGGCGGCGCGGAGTCAGCGCGCCGCGACCCGCCCGTTTCGGAGCCGAGACGGCCACCTCGCCGCGCCGTTTTCGGCGCCGCCCTTTGGGCATGGTGCCCGCCACGCCGCCGCCGGCGCCGCGTCCGCTGGCGGTGTGCGGCCCTTCTCGGAGGCGATTGAGAGGCTCGGTCATGATGATGACGATGACGATGACGACGATGATGCTGATGTTGATGACGATGCTGATGATGATGCTGATGATGATGACGATGCTGATGATGACGATGCTGATGATGACGATGATGATGATACTGATGATGCTGCTGATGATGATGATGATGCTGGTGATAGTGATGACAATGATGATGCTGCTGATGATGACGACGATGATGATGGTGATGCTGATGAGGATGATGATGATGATGAGGAGGAGGAGGAGGAGGACAGGAGGAGGAAGCGGAGGAGGAGGAGGAGGAGGACCAATGTAAACCAGAGGGTCATTAAAGATGTTCGAATTCATCCTCCCTCCAAGCTCCCTCTTCATGGGCCCCTACAGCGGTTCATTCCCATTGAAGGAACTGCCTTGTTGGAAGACACCCATTGAGGACTCTGAAGCATGCCAAAACATTGTCTTCGGGATTTCAACGCAACGGATCGCCGTCGCCAGCCTAGACACGGTCTGGCTATCCTCGGGCTCAGAGCCCTTCGGCGTGAACGCCTGGAGCGACTCGTTGAAGTCAAGGGGGACTGGGGAACCCTTCATGATCTCGACCGTGACGTTCAGCAGGATTTCCGATGCCATTGGCGTCCGCTTCCACGCCATGTAGGGAAGGCCGTCAGGTCCAGGGGCAGAATTGTTCAGGTTGGAGATGAGGCGGCGCATCTTGCCGATCGTGGGGATGTCCATGTCCGAGCAGTCGAACGGGACGACGTGTTTCGCCAGGTATCGCATGACATGCCTGGTGCGGCTCAGTTTGGGCTGGAAGACAGGCGCCCACTGCTTCTGAAGCTCCGCAATCATCTCGTCGGGGTTGGTCGTCCTGGAATGATCGTGTACGACCTCGATTGCCTTGAGCTTCAGCACCTTGCCAGTGGGGGCCCACAGCTTGCCGCGCCGCGCGATCGCCCGCGGAATCTTGCGGAGGCGCTGTCGTTCCAGAGCAGGGGTGTTGGCTGAATGCTCCTGTGCGTGGGTCACCTCCAGGCGCTGCTCCTGGGACTGGCGCTGGAGCTCCTCAAACTTTCTGCGGAAGGCGATCGGGTCCTTCAGGGTGATGTTGTTCGTGTCCGATATGTCCAGGTGTTCTGCTCCCAACGTTGTGCGAGCATGGAGCGTGCGCGCCGCCTTCAAGTCATTCCTCCAGACAGCTCTGGAGATCGAATGGCATGTAATGAGCGCCGCCGCAGTGCAGGGGGCTCTTGAGTTGGTGAGGTCATTGCGTGTGAGGCGCGCAGCTTCGCGTTGCAGGCGCTTGATCTCGCTCAGCTGCGCGAAGGGGACATAGTCGCGCCACGAAGAGACTTCCGACAGGAGGCCAAGATAGTGTTCGAATAGCGGGCTCTCAAATATGTGCTTCGGGATCGGCTGGCTCTGGTCATCGGTCCCAGGGTTGCGCCCAGCAAAGCGGAGGTGGACAGGCGCATGGTCCGACATGCCACGGTCGTAGAGCTCCTCAGGCGCGAACGGGACGTCAGCTTGAGCACACCACTGTAGCAGCATCCACGGCGGCGTGCTGATGTAGATCTTGTCGATGCGCGTGCACTGCTGCGACTGCTCGGTATAGCGGGTGGGGACCTCAGGGTCGATCTCCGTCATCTCCTGCAGTACTGGTTCCCATACCAGCTGGTGCTCAGGATTGTGCCGACGGAGACGTGGGTGGGAGTCCTTTATTGATCAATGGCGTCTGCATCTCCAACGGGGCCTCGTCCATGAAGTTGAAATCGCCCTTGACAATGTCCGTGATCCGCTCGGGCTGCGCTTCAGCTGTTAGGACTTCAGCACGGAGGGAGCGTGTGATCCTCTCGACCTGTTGCTCGGTGAGCCTGAAGTTGTGGACATTGTAGACGACGACCATGTTCGGAAGGGCGTCATCAGGGCTTGGTAAGTAAACGCTGCACCCTGCCAGGGACGAGCTCCGTGTGCGTGAAGCGCGTGGGGTCGTCAGCCGTGGACTGGGGCAGGCCAGGCACAATGATGGCAAATTCACCGGCGCCACGCTCAGGGATCGACGAGAAAACCGCCGCCTCGACGAGAGAACCATGTGAACAATGTGCTGAAATGTGCGGCGCAAGCGCATGGGAACAATGCCACTGGGGCCCTCCGTGGAGCTCTCTGCGGGGACACGAACCGTGTGAGGGGTGCGCCGCAATGGGCGGGGGAGACGCAAATGACGAAAGCTACTGGGGACCTTCGGTGGAGCTCCCTACGGGGCCACAAACCGTCTGAGGAGTGTGCCGAAAGGGGTGGTGGAGACACATGCTAAAGAAGCCACTGCGGCCTCCGTTGGAGCTCCCTCTGGGGCTTCGGCCCGTGTGAAGGTTGCGCCGGAATGTGCGGCGCGGGCGCATGCCAACGTCGCCGCTGAGGCCGCAGGTGGAGCTCACCATGGGGGCACGAAGCGTGTGAGAGGTGTTCCAACATGTGCGGCGCGGACGCATGCGAACGGTGCCACTGGATCCTCAGGTTGAACTCACTGTGGGGCCACGAAGCGTGTGAGAGAGAGGTGTTCCGAAGTGTGCGGCGCGGACGCTTGCGAACGGTGTCTCTGGGGTCTTAGGTGGAGCTCGCTGTGGGGCCACGACCCGTGTGAAGGGTGTGCCAAAATGTGTGGCGCGGGCGCATGCGAATGGTGACGCTGGGGCCTTCGGTGGAGCCCCCTATGGGGCCCCGAACTGTGTGAGGGGTGTGCCGAGATGTGCGGCGCAGACGCATGGGAACGTTGCCACTGGGGCCTCCGGTGGAATTCCCCGTTGGGCCACGACCCGTGTGAAGGGTGTGCCGAACTGTGAGCCGGGGACGTATGGTAACGTCACCACTGAGGCCTCCAATGGAGCTCACTGTGGGGCCACAAACCGTGTCAGGGGTGCGCCGACATGTGCGGCGCGGACTCATTGGAACTTCGCCACTGGGGCCTTCGGTGGAGCTCCGTATGGGGCCACGGACCGTGTGAGTGGGTTGCCGACCTTTGCGGCGTGGACGCATGGGAACGTCGCCACCTGGGCCTTCGGTGGAGATTCCTATGGGTCCACGAACCGTGTGAGGGGTCTGGGAACGTTGCCACTGGGGCCTTCGCTGGAGCTCCCTATGGGGCCACGAACCGTGTGAGGGGTTTCCCGAACCTTGCGGCGTGGACGCATGCGAACGTCGCCTTTAGAGCCTTCGGTGGGGGCCACGAACCGTGTGAGCGATGTGCCGAACTGCGCGGCGCGGGCGCATGCGAATGTTGCCACCGGGACCTTCGGTGGAGCTCCCAATGGGGACACGAACCGTGTGACGGGTGTGCCGAAACAGAAACACGCGGAGTGCAGAGGCAGGGATGGGAGGAGGAAGGAAGGAGGAGGGATGGGGGCGAGGAGGAGGAGGAGGAGAAGAAGGAGGAGGACGGACGGACGGACGGACGGACGGACGGACGGACGGACGCGGGGCGCTCTCTTCAAAACGATTATCCAACACCACAGGATGGTTTGGAAATCCTACTTGCACTCCTGCCGAATCGTACTGGCTTGACGCTGACACATGACGAGTATTGGGATTTGCGTATCCGCTTAAACGTCGCTTGCGAGCTTCATTGTGCGCCACTGCCGCGACATTGGTCGAGTGTGCGAAAATCTCCTGAGGAACGTCCGTGCACCGCGGCAGAAACGCTTCCCGTCGTCTGCTCAAGCTTGGTCCCAGGACTCCGGACACCATCCTCGAGAACTCGTCCAACCGCCCCGGGCCGTGGCGACAGGAAGGCCCCCCCGACGGCGACACAAAACGCCGACGCCGGGAGCGGCAGGAGGCACAGCAGGAGAGGAGGAGGAGTGAAAGCACCTGGGGGCGAGCCGAGAATGTAAAAGAAGGCGCTCGGCTCGGAGCAGGCACTCGGGACGGACGCCTACGCAGCGGCCGGCGCGAGAGCGATGCAGATGAGTATGACTCCTCCTTCTAGTGGGCGTTGTGCGCGACCGCCTCGAACCTCGCGAGCTCGTCGATGCAGGCAAGCGCGCAACGACTTCACGAGGGGGGCGTAGCACACGGATTCGGGGTCCACCCGCAGGCCGAACTTCTTCACAAAATCGGTCAGGCCATATCGGAAAGCAGCCGCCAATTCAATGGTAGTGACGCCCATGCCTTCGAAGTTTCTCATGCGGCCAATCTCGTTGATGCAGGCGGGCGCCCGCAGCGCCGTCACTAGGGAGTTGAGGTGCACGGGACCGCGGTCCACCTGCAGTCCGTACTTCTTCACAATATCTTTCAGTCGGGAGGCAGCCGCCAATCCAAAACTGGTGTCGCCTATGCCCTCGAAGTTTGTGATACGGCCAGTCTGGCCACAGGGAACATCATGGGGTCCAACACGAAATTTGACAAGGCATTCAGGGATCGAGCCCAACGGTATCGCCTCAAGCCTCCGCGCGAACTCGTTGACACAGGCGGGCGCACGCAGCGACTTCACGAGGGAGCCGACATACACCCCATCTGAGTCTGCTTGCAAGCCAACGAACGGGCGCGCCAGCGATGACAGCGGGGTCCGTGAAGAAGCCGTGGCAGAAGCACCCGAGGAAACATGAGCAGCCCATGACGGAGCGGCATCGACAGTGGCGATGGCCTTCTGGAGGCCCTTCTTCATCACGTGCTTCTACATGGTGAGCATATGGTTAGCGAATGACTGGAGCTTCTTCGTGAGCTGGTCGGCAAGCTGCCACGCCTCCTCATGGCTCTGCCGCCTGAAGTCGTCCAGCTGCTTCTCCAGGAGCTCGAACGTGATAGCAGCCGCGCCAGAGGGGGCCAGGGGCTGCGCCGACACGAGCAGGAGGGCCATGGTGCAGGACAGGAAGGTAATCGACGATGTGCAGCGGCTGCGGCCGAGCCTCCTCCTTGCGCCAGCGCCGCCGGCGAGCACAGCCGTCCTTGTAGCAGATGGCGTACCTCGACGACATGCGCCGAACAGCGTCCACTATCAGCAGCGTCGAGGACATAATCAAGCAAGCTGGTGCGATGAGGAGGACCTTGGCCGAGTTCCAAACCACGTCGTAGGCGCCCGGCGAGAGCCAGTTGAGCATCACGCAGCCGCAGCTCAGGATTGACACGCTTCTCGACGTAAGATGTGCGTGGGGCTCGGCACGAATAGCACGAAGAGCATGGACCGCGGCAGCGAACGAAGCCGGCGATTTGCATGTAAGACTCGCTGCGCTGCCCATGCGTCGCAACGCACCGAAGGAGTTGGTGAGCTCGCGGAGGGCGTTGTCGAACGCAGCAGCCTGGACGCGTAAGACATGAAGAGAAGAAGAAACACGTAGCAACATGTGGCGCCTCCTGTCGGCTCTTTCGCCAAAACGGCTGCGGAGCAGGAGAGGTGGAGGAGAAGAAGGAGGAGGACGAGGAGGAGGAGGAGCAGGAGGAGAAGGAGCAGGAGGAGGAGGAAGAAGAGGACAAGGGGGAACCTGACTTGTTTTCCCGTGCCGAGACTGCGATCAAGTTTGTAATGTCAAGGTGATTAGTTATAACGTCCTAATGCCAACACAGTCTCCCACATCTCGCCCAACAGCGCCAGAACCCGCTGCCATTGCCCATCTTTCACTCACGCGCTGTTCCCCAGCGTTGTAGCTGACTAGCTTGTCGTATCGCCCCTCCGCAGCAAAGCGCTGATCGCAGGGCTGTAGCAGGCTGCATGGGGCTCTAGCGTCGCCTTCCGAATCTCGCTCAGCAGCGCCAGGGCCCGTTGCCACTGCTCGCCCTTCGCGCGCGTGGTGATCCCAACGCTGTAGCTGATGACGTCGGGCTCCAGCTTTACTTCCCGCGTCTCGCTCAGCAGCGCCATGGCCCGCTGCCTGCTCGCCCTTCTCGCACGCACTGATCCCAGCGCTGTAGATGATGGCGTTGGGCTCCAGCTTCCGCTCCCGCATCTCGCTCAGCAGCGCCAGGGCCCGCTGCCACTGCTCGCCCTTCTCGCACGCACTGATCCCAGCACTCTAGGAGAGGTGGCGTTGGGCTCCAGCTTCGCCTCTCACAGCTCGCCCAGCAGCGCCAGGGCCCTCTGCCACTGCTTGCCCTCCTCGCACGCACTGATCCCAGCGTTGTAAACGATGGCGTTGAGCTCCAGCTTCCGTTCCCGCATCTCGCTCAGCAGCGCCAGGGCCCGCTGCCAGTGCTCGCCCTTCTCGCACGCACCGATCCCAGCAGTGTAGCTGATGACGTCGGGCTCCAGCTTCGCCTCCCACATCTCGCTCAGCAGCGCCAGGGCCCGCTGCCACTGCTCGCCCTTCCCGCACGCACTGATCCCAGCGTTGTAGCTGACTAGGGCAGACCTGTGGACTCCGTCCACGACATCAGCTCGACGTGGCGAGGGGTCTCTGGGCAAGCGCGGGGGGGTGCGGCTGCAGGGCCGAAAGGCAATCAGCTGCTGCTGCTGCTCGGAGGTCCTGCTGCTTCCTCCCTCCTCCTCCTCCTCCTCCTCCTCCTCCTCCGCCTCCTCCTCCTCCTCCTCCTCATCCTCTTCCACCTGCTTCTCCTCTTTCGCTGGATTCTCCATGCCCTCGGTCGGCAATCGTCGATCCTACGACGACTCTCCCCAACAGAGAAACATCGAAGGCCCTCGGAGCGTCCAACATTGTTCTTTTGTGCCTTCGATATGCCGGTCGCCTCTCGTCCGCTCCCCCCCTCCTGGAAGCAATTCTGAGGCCACTTAGGGCTTCGTGGGGGCCGTTTGGGGATCTCTTGGGGCGTTTTTGCCTGCGATATGCCTGTCGCCTCTCGTCCGCTCCCCCGCTCCTGGAGGGAATTCTGAAGGCCACTGAAGGCTTCGTGGGGGCCGTTTCGGAGCCTCTTCGGCCTTCTTTTGGGCCTCCCGGGGGGGCTCTTAGGGCCCTCTCGGGCCGTCTTGGGTGCCTCTTGGGCCGTCTTGGGGCCGTCTGAGGCCCGCCTCGGCGCCTCTTGGGCTGTCTTGGGCCGTCTTGGGCCGCTCCTGGGGCCGTCTTGGGTGCCTCTTGGGCCGTCTGGGGCGCCTCCTGGGCCGTCCTGGGGCCGTCCTGGGGCGTCTTGGGACCGTCTTGGGGCCCTCCTGGCCCGTCTTGGGGCTCTCTTGGGGTCATCTTCGGCCGTCTTGGAGCGGTCGGGGGGACTTCTTGGGCCGTCTTGGAGCGTCGGGAAGCCGAAGAGGCGAGGAGGCCGAAAACATAGAAAAACACAATAGAAATCGACGATTTCTGTCGCTCGGGGCCCTCTTGGGAGGCCTCTTGGGAGGCCTCTTCGGGCGTCTTGGACGCCTCTTGGGCCGTCTGGGGCGAATCTCGGGCGTCTTGGGCCCATCTGTAAGCGTGCCGGGGCTCTCCGGGGCCGTCTTGGGGGCTTCTGGGGGCCCTCTCGACATGTCCTGGAGCCTGCCTGGGCGGCCCGGGGCGGCCCGGGGCCAGCCCGGGGCGGTTTCGGTGCATTGGGGCCTGCGCCCTTCTGGCACGCACTGGGCCCTGCAATGTAGTAGAGACTAGGGCTGACCCGTGGACTGCGTCCACTTGCGGGGTGACGGGGTTTGCCGCCAGGCGATGACGATACATAGCAGCAGATTCGTCGGCCAAATCTCGCTGAGCAGCGAGGGCGCCACGTAGCGCCGCTCTTCCGTGCGGCCTGCCCAGCGGGCGGAGCCGATCTCTCTCTCTCTCTCTCTCTTTCTCTGTCTCGCTCTCCCTGGCGCAAGATCTCCGCGATTGGCTGAGCACCCCGGGCCCAGTCGCATGGCTTAGTTCCTGGGGCGGGCCCAGCGACGCTCCAGTCGCCCCCGAGAAAACCAAGAGTGCCTCCAAAGTTAATGCAAGAGGCGGAAGGGCTGGAAGAGGCAAGCTAGAAGGGCTGGAAGAGGTCTCTTCGCACAAACATGGCGGCGGGAAGGTCTTGGACAGTGGGCCAAAAAGTATGACGGAGTTCGGGGGGCCGAGGGGAGGCGCCGCTCCTTGTCGTTGTAGCCCGTCGGGCCGTTTAAAGCTCCGCAGGCCTGTTTCACACTTGCCGCTTTATCCCGCATGCGGACTGCTAAGGGGGGAGAGCTTAAAGACGACGACGGCGTCCACGACGAAGTGGGCGCCAAGACGCGCCCAGATGGCTGTAATATTGCTCCAAGACAGTTGCAGCTGCCTCCAAGAGCCCAGGTTCACGCAGGTGGCGCTGCTGCGTGGACTACATCGTCTAGCACCGAGGCGCCCCAAGGCTCGAAGACGGCCGGATGCGGCGAAATGTGGATCCAAGATGGCCCTGGAGGGCTCCAGTGCGGGCCCAAATGGCCCTAAGATGGCTCCAAGACGGGCCCAGATGGCCCCAAGATGGCCCCAAGACAGACCCAGTGGCCTCCAAGAGCCTTGGTTCACGCATGCGGCGCCGCTGCGTTGACAAAATCGTCCACGCAGCCAGGGATCCTGGAGCTCCAAGACGGCCCAATGCGACCAATTGTGGATCCAAGATAGCCCTGGAGGGCGCCGCGACGCGCCCAGATGGCCTCAAAATGGCTCCAAGACAGCGGCAATGGCCTCCAAGGGCCCAGGTTCATGCATATGGCGCCGCTTCGTGGTCAACATCGTCCACGTAGCCAGGCCACCCAGGGCTCCAGGATGGCCCGATGGGGCCAATTCTGGATTCAAGATGGCCCTGGAGGGCTCCAAGACGGGCCAAAATTGCCTTAAGCTGGCTCGAAGAGAAACCCAGTGGCCTCCAAGTGCGCAGGTCCACGCATGTGGCGCCGCTGCGTGGACAAAATCGTCCATGCAGCCAGGCCACCCAGGGCTCCAAGACAGCCGCAACGGCCTCCAAGAGCGCAGGTTCACGCATGTGACGCCGCTGCGTGGACAAAATCGTCCACGCAGCCAGGCCACCCAGGGCTCCAATACGGCCCAACGCGGCCAATTGTGGATCCAACATGGCCCTGGAGGTTTCCGAAACGCGCCCAGATGGCCCCGAGATGGCTCCCCGACGGGCCCATATGGCCCCAGGATGGCCCCGAGACGGTCGCTCGCCCGCAACCTCCCGGCTCCGCCTCCGCCTCCCCTCATTATGGCCGTGGCCGTAGCCTTGGCCGCCGTCCCTACATCGCCGTTAGCGTGTCTGCGGAACCATTGTTAACCAGTGATGCCGCAGGCCGTCCTCTAGAACCGCGTGCGCAAGAGGAGGCCGAGTGCATGCCGAGCCACCCCGTGCGCAAAACAGCGCGGCAGACACTGAGTGCCCGCCCTGGGAAAGCTCCCAGCCCCCCGAAGTGTGCGCCCGAAGGGTGTGGGGCCGCGTTGGCTCCCTCAAAGGGCCGTCTTGGAGCCGTCTAGGCCCGTCTTGAGAGCGCCGTTTGCCCTGATGGGGCCGTCTTGGTTCGTCGTGGGCCCCTCATGGGCGCGTCCGTAGGCCGTCCTGGGCCCATCGGGGTCCTCGTGGGGCTGTCTTGGAGCCGTCTGGGACCGTGAGGGAACGGAGCTTCCAGGTGTTCGTTTTGAGGGGCGCTGAAAACGAACAGTGCCCAGCCCCTGGTGGGGCCTTCCCAGGCCTCTCTCGGGCTCTTTTCGAAGCGTCTGAGATCTTCTTGGGGTCCTTTGGGAAGGACCTCCCGGCTTGAAGGCCGTCTGGGTGGGGCTTCTCGCGGTTTCAAGGCCGTCTCGGGAGGGGCCTCGAGGGTGCCAGGACGGAACAAAACAGAGCTTCCATGTGTTCGTTTTGAGGGGCGCTCAAAACGAACAGTGGCCAGCCCCTGGTGGGGCCTTCCCTGGCCTCTCTCGGCCTCCTTTCGAAGCGTCTGAGATCTTCTTGGGCTCCTTTGGGAAGGACCTCCCCGCTTGAAGGCCGTCTCGGTGGGGCTCCTCGCGGTTTCAAGGCCGTCTCGGGAGGGGCCTCGAGGGCGCCAGGACGGATCAAAACAGAGCTTCCAGGTATTCGTTTTGAGGGGCGCTCAAAACGAACAGTGCCCAGCCCATGGTGGGGCCTTCTCAGGCCTCTCTCGGGCTCTCTTCGAAGCGTGTGAGATCTTCTTGGGCCCAGCAGGGGCCGTGTTGGCACCCTCTTGGGGCTGTCTTGGGGCCGTCTTGAGCCGTCGCAGCGCGCCTTGGGCTGTGCTGGGTCCGTCTTGGCCTGTCTTGGGGCCTTCCTGGGCGTTTCCTCGGACCCTCCTGAGACTTTCTGGGGCCTCGTGGTGCATCGGACCGCCGAAACGGCGGGAAACGCAAAGGGTGTAACAGTAAGCAATGGAAAGTTAACGATTTTTGCAAGCTGGGGCTCTCTCGCCATCTTGGCCCGTCTTGAGGCCCCGACCGGGCGCGTCCTTGGGCCGTCCTGGGCGCACCCTCCTGGGACCGCCTTGGGCCGTCCTGGGCCTGTCTGGGGCCGTGTTGGCACCCTCGCGGCGAGGAAGCTCGGAGGCGGGTTCGAGGCCTCTTCGGGGCAATTTTGGAAGCTGTTGGGGCCTCTGCTGGGGCCTCGTTTGGGCTCCGTGGGAGCCTCCTGGAGCCTCTTCGGGGGATTCTTGGCGGCCCCTTGGGGCCTCTTGGGGGCCTGTTTGGGCCTCCTGGCGCCCTCTTGGGGCAGAAGGCTCGGAACTTCGGTCCGTGGTCCCCCTCTAGGCCCCCTCTTGGGCCTGTCCTCGGGCCCTCGTGGGCCGTCTCGAGCGTCTCTTGGGCCGTCTTGGGGCCCTCTTGGGCTGCCTTGGGGCGCTCTTGGAAACCTCTTGGGCACCTCTGGGGGGCCTCTTTGGGGCTCCTGGGGGCGTCTTGGGCCTCTCTGGGCTCGTCTATCGCGCTCCTTGGGCTGTCTTGGGGCCCCCTGGGGCCTTCTTGGGCGGTCCTCGGGCCGTCTTGGAGCCATCTTGGGCCGCTCTTCGGGCCATCTTGGGGTCCCGCTGGCCTGTCTAGGGCGCCTCTGGGGCCGTCCTGGGGCCGCCTTGGACCGTCTTGGGGCCCTCTTGGACCATCTTGGGGTCCTCTTGGGGCCCTCTTGGACCGTCTTGGAGCGGTCTTGGATGCCTCTGGGAGGGTTTCGGAGCGTCGGGAAGCCGAAAAAGCGAGGAAGCAAAAAAAACCTCGGGAAAACCAATGAAAATCAACGATTTTGGCCTCTCGGGCCT